TACTGTTCGTTATCGTTCCAGGTCATTGTTGTGAGATTTTCGCTCCGGCGTGATTGATAATTTAATAATAAATTACTGGGGTGAATTTTTCTCGCGCTCTTTGTTTGAAGCGTTGAAAAATTGTGCCGGTCATTCTTGAGTGCTTCATTATTACGCAATTCCGTGATCGTTTATTGACATCGGGTGATAGCAGTCTTCGGAAAAATACCGGCTTAAAAGGAAAATAACAATCGCAAGATTATTAAGGTTAATGGAAAATTACGGCAGCTGGGTTAACTTAAAAATAGTCGCTCTTGAGATAAGAAGTCTTCAAACACGACCTAATCAAATAGCGGTCTCGCTGGGTTTATCAGAAGAAGCTGGAGGAGTTTAGCTTAAATCGACCTGACGGAACTGCAAGGTGGATTCGAGGAAATGACTGGTTTGAAAATTACGATATTTATATATTAAATTATGACAATATTTATATGGGGTAGCTCATCTAGGTCAGAGAGAATTTTGTTAAATATGCAATTTACTTTCGGCGACCCGGAAAGAAACAACAAAAAAGAGCTGCAAACAAAAAACACGAGAAATATGTGAACTAAAGTTGGGTTTTTGGTCTTTTAACGATTTAAATGCTGTTTGTGATTTTTTTTTGAGGACAAGTCTTTTCATTTTAAAAATATAGTTCTACTATAATTCTTCGTCTACAGTCATTTACACATTTTTTAAAATTAACTCAAACGAATAATATTTTGAATTCTAATAATAAATTGCTAGATTTAACAGTTTCCATTGTTCAGTGAGAAGTCATTCGATGTGATATTCCAAGGGTAACGGAGGACAAATATGACCCAACACTATTTTTAGTATGCACCTTCTCTGTTCATAAACCGGTAAATTTTCCACGGTAGGACAATGATAGTGATAACATAAGAGCCTTTAACTTCCGTAGAGTTGACTTAATTTGTATCTACTGATTAGTATAAACTTTTTCCTCTGTAGATCTTATGATTGAATGTTTTTACAATATTTTCTAAAAACAACGTTATTCGCCTTGGTTCAACAGCGAAATAATAAATAATATCAAATTTAAATTTCAATACCTTAAGAAATACAGAAGTTCAGGTCTAGATTTCTATTTAGTTAGATTTCTATTTCTCTACAATCGTTGCATCCTCTAGAATCTTTGGAGTCTTCATAATCTCTAAAATATCTACTGTATCTAATATCTTTAGTAATCTTAAATACTTTTGGAATCCCGAAATCGCTAGAACTACTACAACCTCTAATATTCGTAGCACTTCTGAATATCTGGAATTTTTGGTATGTCCTTAATCATTCCAATTTCAAAGTTCTCAAAGATATCTTAAAAATCCCAAGATTTTCTCGAACAAGTTTGAAGTTTCTGGCATCTTGGAATAGTTATAATCTCTAGAATTTCTGTTCTATCTAGTATCTTTGACTCCTCTCAGATTGTAGGATCTTCAGGTTCTTTAGAATCTCGAGAAATTAGAGAATTTTAAGATCGTTAAAGTCTTAAGGATTTGTTTGGCTATAAATATGTCTAGAAAATCTATATCTCAATATCTATAATTTTTGCAACCTCAAAGTTCTTAAGGATCTCTGTGGACAGATGCCAGAAATCTCAAAGAGATTTAGAGTTTCTGGCATCTGAGGTTCTAGGATTTCTAGGTTCTTTAAAATCTCCAGAATTTATAGAACTTTAGGACCAAAAATACAAGGATTTCTATTATTTCTTGGATGCAAGAATTTCTGAAACCTCTGAATGCTTAAAATTTTTGAGCCCTTTGGAATCTTCGAAATCTTCATAATCTTGAAAATCTCTAATATATCTAAGAATCTCTAAAATTTCCGTCCAGTTGTTGGAACTGCTACAATTAGATCTAGAATTCTTTGAATGTCTATATTTTTAACAATCTCAAACTCCTCAAGAATTTCTATATATCAGATGTCTCAAGAATTTTAGAAATCTCAAAGGAGTTTGGTGTTTCTAGAATCTAGGGAACAGTTTTTAAAACTGCATCTGTAGCATCGCTGGGAACATTGAAGTCTCTGAAATTTCTGACTGAGGTTCTAGAGTTTCTGGATTCTTTAGAATTTCGAGAATGTATAGCATTTTAGGATCCCTAAAATCTTAATAGTTTTTAGATGTTTATATCGGTATATGTCTAGAAATTCTATGATTTCTAGGACGCATGAATTTTAAACTCTCTGATGAATCTCTGAAATTTTTAGATCCTCTGAAACCTTTGGAGTCATTTAAATGGAAATTTCGTACTAGAATCTAGAATATTTATAATATTTAGAACTTCTGCAGTACCTAGTATCTTTGAGAGATCTGAGCTTCTAGGATTTGTAGAATTTTTAGGACCTAAAATCTCAAGGATAATTTCTAGAATTTTTGAATCCTCTGGAATGTGTGAATTCTTCATATCTTTAAAATATCTGGTATATCTAAGATCCCTAGGGGTATATTAAATATTTTTGGAATAGCTCGAACTGCTACAATCTCTAAAGAAGTTTCAAAGTTCTCAAGAATCTCTATGTATAAGGTATTTCAAGAATTCTAGAAATATCAAAAGCGTCTGGAGTTTCTAAGATGTAGAAAGAGCTTTTAAAATACATAAAAAATGTGGCATTGCTTAAAGCACTGAAATCTCTGAAATTTCTAACAAGAATTCTTGGAATAGTTATAACCTTTGAAATTTCTGAGGTTCTAAGATTTCTAAGTTCTTTGGAATCTCGAAATTTATAGAATTTTAGCATCGCTAAAATCTCTAAATCTTTAGAAGTTTTGGATCCCCTGAAATCTTCATAATCTCTAATTTCTGTAATACATCTAAGAACTTTAAGAATATCTCAGATATTTATTTTGGAATCTCTGAATATCTAATCTTTGTATATAAGATATTTCAAGAATTCTAGAAATCTCTAAGGCGTTTGGAGTTTCTGGCATGTAGGGAACAGTTTTTAAAATACGCTGCATCTGTGGCATTGCTAGGAACATCGAAATTTCTGAAATTTCTGTGATATCTACGATTTTTCAGACCTCTGAGATTCTAGGGTTTCTGGGTTCTTTAGAATTTCGACAATTTATAGTATTTTAGAATCCTTAACATCTTAATGGTTAAGAAACACAGAAACAAAATATAAGCCCCGCCCACCCACCCTGTCTCAAGTGTGATGATTTTTTCTATTCGTCGTAAGTCAGAGGGCGGACCTTAATTTCAGACTCCTTATTTCTCTACAGGAAATTACCATGCGAAACAAGTTCTTAAGTCGTTGTGTTGTTCAAAGAAAACTCAATGTATTATGTAAAAAAGAAATTCGTTGTCAAACGAGGGGCGAAGCGTAATTGCAAAATCCACATTTCCCTACAAAAATTTACCATGACATTAAACATGTTTTAAGTTTCTTCTTGTGAAAAGAAGAGTACGTTTGTTAAGAAAAACAGAGGCAAAATATAAGCCCCGCCCACCCACCCTGTCTCCATTGTGATGATTTTTCTATTCGTCGTAAGTCAGGGGGCGGACCTTAATTTCAAAATCCTTATTTCTCTACAGGAAATTACCATGTGAAACAAGTTCTCAAGTCGTTGTGTTGTTCAAAGAAAACTCTATGTATTATGTAAAAAGAAATTCGTTGTCAAACGAGGGGCGGAGCGTAATTGCAAAATCCATATTTCCCTACAAAAATTTACCATGACATTAAACATGTTTTAAGTTTCTTCTTGTGAAAAGAAGAGTACGTTTGTTAAGAAAAACAGAAGCAAAATATAAGCCCCGCCCACCCACCCTGTCTCAATTGTAATGATTTTTTCTATTTCAATACCATCAGACAAGAAGGATTTCGATTTGTATTTAATATTTTGGTCTAAAAATTAGAGGATTAAATATTTTCAAATGTCTGTTCAAAAACTGGCTCACCAACTTAATGATACATGATTAAATTCACAAGTTCAAGTTCGAGAAAAATCATGAAAAAATTATTTTACAAATTTGGACAAATGGATTTCTAATTTTTTTTTCTCTGAATTTTCTGATTCACGAATGGTTCTGAACAAAGTGTCATGCTATGACTTTTTGTCGACCAATTTGATCTGTTTTAGGACCCTTTTTTGGCCGGTCCTGACTCAGGTTAAATTGGTCGACGGAAAATGATGCCGTTTGTAGCTCAGGTCAATGACCGGCGAACAGAAAAATTTCAAAACGTTTCAAAAACACCCAGTATAAGATTGTTTTTGGAATAAACTCTATACTAACACTATACAATACACAATGTCATGTTTTGCTAATAAAAATAAACACTTAATGAAGAAATTTAAATACACTTTGTACGACATTAAAATTTTAGGACTATGTATTTTGTTTTTATACAGACATTTATTGCTCGAAAACAAATTAAGTCACCACGTATAATTTTTAGCATTTATTTTGCAAGACCGTGTAAAAAATAATTACCATGAAAACTTGGTAAACTTTGAACGAAAACAACAAGTTGACTAACATGTGGCAAAGACTTCGAAATGTTCAATCACGTCGTAGATTTTGTTCAATTCTCTGAAAAAAAAAATCCGGGTTCACCCGGCACATTTTATTTTAAGTGCTTGAGATAGGTTCAAAACCAAAAAAAAGAAGTAAAGACGGAGATAAGGTTCTAAAATTTGAACTGTTACATAGTAGTGCGTCACAAACGATATAAATGATGTAAATAGTTAACTATTTCAACTATTTGTGTATCGTATCACACAAAAGTTAAAATTTGAAAGAAGTGCAAAAGTCAGGGTCATTGTGTTACAATTTGCAAACACGGTTGGTTTTAGCAGCACTAGTGTGATTCTTGGATAAACTAGCACCATTTTGAGCCGCATAAACATCACCATTAATAGTTTTCTATAAATATGTCGATATCAATAATGTACAATAGAACAAAACAAACAATTTATTTATAGTCTGGTGTTTACATGCACACTGCCACACTAAGACACTCCTTACCGGACTCAGCCTCCTCCCGGACTTTGCTAGCACCTCTGGACACAGCCCCCAAAATCGCATAAGTAGCAGTCACCATAACAATACAGATCACTTTAAGCCCTAGGGCAACTTTTCTAGTCCTAAGCAACATTGCCATATCTTTCGGTCGAATTCAAATATCAATATCAAATAATCATAAAACTAATATAATTCACCCACTCCAAATTAAATAAAATAATTTTTCTCGATTAACCACCGCAGTTTCGTTAACCTTTTGCCAGTGACTCGCTCAAGCACGTTTTAAAATATCACATCCACTGATTAGATTAATTCGAACTGATTCGATCTACGTCTCACAAGTAAGTAAACTCTTAAATAGTGTTCTCGTGAAATAAATACTCGTTATCGAAAGATTATACCTAGTGGAAAATTATTCAGAAAACATGAGCAATCTCGGAAGAAGAGCTGAAAAAAAAAATAGTGCTCTCGAGATAAGGTTAAAAAGTAAAGCGCACTTTGAGTTATTGTTAAATTGGAATAATATAAACAGAGTGATGAGGCCGACAAAAAAAACGACGGCCTGATGGGCACATAATCTTTGCGTGGGTTTTATCAAAAAGTGGAGATTTATTGCTTTCAAAACAATTTTTTTTGTGTCTGTTATTAACTTATTAATATCGTATTTTATCTGGTAGTGTTTGTCAAAATAGAGAATGACATTACTGATGTTTATTCAACATTACTAAGCTGATGCAGGTCAGTAAGAAAAACATTTATGTAACTTGTTAAACACAGCACTCATCACACTGATAAAAAATGTACACAAAATATTGACTGATTGATCGTGATTTTCCTGTCATATATTCGAATTGTAATCTTTTTTGGGGGAGATTTTAATCACTTAATAAAAATTCACACTTGCATACTAAGACCATTCTCGAATTACAAAATTTGTCTACTAATTTTTACTACGAATTAATAAAATCTCATTTTACGAAAAAAAATACTTTACATAAGTATATGCATTTGTCTATTCTCGTAAAAATCGTTATCTTATCCGCGTTCCGGAGTTTAAATCTGAAGTACTTTACTGAAAATTGTTTATTAAGGTAACTGCACTGACATATCAAAAACAATTTTCGTCTGAAATAAATGCATAATATTTTGTTTAAATGTAAAATAATCGCACTGTGTTTATTTTCCTATAAATTTAGTCGTCGACCTGATTGTTATGCAACCACTTATACCGACGCGATAAAAACTGTGTGTTATTTATACGACCGGTTGTTGTTGGTTGCATAATCGCATATGTCTAGAACCTCAATAACAGGTCTGGACTATGAATTCATACTTTATTTAAATATTTTTCAGACGTAAAGCGTGATGTTTTGTGTCGTCTCGTCCATATTTTGGAAGTTACGTAACACAAGATGATCAAGGTTATATAAAATACCTACTAATTTTATTGTTTCCGATGATACAATATTATAAATTTGTCACTTTAGTAACAGAATGTTATTTCAAATGGCAACATATCATTTAAAATAGCAAAGCAACAAGTTTCTCGTGTGAATTCGAGTGTAGTTTTTTACATAATGTGCTACTGGTAGATTTTATACTAATTTGCATAAGTAACAAGTGGTTTACGTATTATTAGTTACTGTAATCTACGTTAAATCAAAGAAAAAAGTTTTTAAAAGCAGGGGAAGTTAGGGAAAATTAAATGGTTAATGTGAGGTCACAAAGTTATTATTTGGTTTGTTTAATCGGTATATTTTCAGTTTACGTTATTTATAAATAAAGTAGAACATTTTATTTTGCCCTACCTTTTCCTAGAGACTACACATTCTCAGAAGATGTCACTTCAACAATGATATGACAAAATTGTCGTTTTTTAAACTGAAGAGATAATTTTGAAAAGTGCTTACTTAGTAGATTATCTTAGCAAAAATTTCTATTTAAGTTAAATTTAGATGTAGGCTGTACTACAAATTTTATCGTTATTTTTAATATAATCCGAAAGTTCATTGGCGAGCAGCAGAAATATGAGGGGCCCCAAGATACTTCCCGGTAGTGCTTCAAGAAATGATGTTTCTTGTAATACAACTTTTCGATTATGTTGGATAAGACACTCTTGTAGATATAGGTCTAAAATTATCTTATTTCAGCTGAACAGGAAATTCACCGAAGCTTATCAATGCGTTCACAATACCGGAGCCAAGGTTAAATCTTCTTTATATTTTTTTGTGAGAATTATTGGTATTTCAGCGAAGCCACATGATTTTTTAACTTTTAGATGCTCGATTTTATCTATTTAATCAGAAGGGATTGCAGGTGGCATTAAGAGTAAGTACGGTCACATGGTGCATTCTGTTAACGATGTAGATATAGCAAAATATTGATAAAATATTTCGTCGAAATATTACAAAAAATAAACGTGACATATTAAAAATCGTTGAAAATTTTTCCAAATAAGGACATGACGCTAGAACTAAAAATATTAAGGAAAACGTATGGAGTAATATTGCTGGATAAAAACAAGAACAAACCAAAGAGTGGAGTGGAGAGTCGGTGTCGGTGTCGGTGTTGGTTATTTTATTAAAGAACTATCTATATATTAACCCAATCATCATCATTAATCATCATTTTGCCAAAAAATAAAATGAAACATATTTTTGGTTTTTATTATTTTTTAAGAGAAAATTATTGATTTCGCCGCGTATACGTATTTAATTTATATAAATTGACAACGCAGAGTTAAAACTCCAACCGTGCGTCCCTGGTCGACGCACTCTTTTTTTGTATTCTTTCAGATTCTCTCAATTTCCTGGAAGATTCCCTCAGATTTCCTTCACAATTTTTCAGAATCGCTTTAGATCCTTTCAGATCCTTGCAGACTGTTCCAGATTCTTCCAGTTTTTTCTACATTTTTCTACTCAAACTCTTCAGATTCTACTAGGTTTACCTAGATTCATCTAATTCTTACCGATTCTTAGTGTCATATTCCCTCAGTGTGCTTGGATTGCCACAGGTTTCCTCAAATTCCTTCAAATACTTTTCGAATCTCTTAGATTCTTTCCGATCTCAATTTGTCTCAAATTCCTCCATATTCTTTCAAATGCTTTCAGATTCTTTCATTTTCCTTCTGATTTTCTCTTTCAGATTTTTTCCATCGTTTTAGATCCTTTTCTGATCCCTGCAGATTCATCCAAATTCTTCCACATTCCTTCAGTTTTTTTTAGATTATCTTAGATTTTTCTAAATTGTTCAAAATTGTCCAGGATTTCCCAGTTTCCCTCAGATTCTTACAAATTTCTTCAGTTTCTATACAAAACTCAAATTTTCTTAGATTTCCTCAAACTCTCTAGGATTCTAATAATAATAATAATAATATTTACTAATTTCAACAGGAAGAGATCCCAATTTCAGAAACTAAATAAACTAAAAATATACTCCTACAAAAATAACTAGAAACAGTGAAATAAAATTAAATCTTTTCAAAAGAGCTAAATGCTCTACAGCATTTGGGGGTAAACAGAGTCTTGTAAAAAGGCTAAAAATTAAAAACAAAAAATTGTACAGCTTCTACTTCCTTGCGATAGATTTTCTCACATTCTCTTAGCTTCTCAAATTTTTTCGATTCCTTCAGATTCTCTAAAAATTTTTCACCTTTCAGATCGCTCCAGAACCTTTCAAATTTTTCCACATCGCTTCAGAGTCCTACAAAATCGTTCAGATTCGTCTAGATTCTTCTAGGTTTACCTAGAATCGTCTAGATTTCTTGAGATTCTTTCCGATCCTCTTTGATTCTTTCTAATTCTTTCCGATTCTTAGTCTCATATTCCCTCAGATTTGCTTGGATTACCTCAGATTCTTCCAGATTCTTTCAGACATTTTCAAGTTCTTTCCTTTTTTTTAAGACTCTTCCTTTCGGATTCTTTGGCGTTCTTTCAGACTGTTTCGAATGTTTGCAAATTCTTTCAAAGACACCGTCAGGAATCCTCACGATCCTTTCATATTTTTGAATTCTATTCAGTTCGTTTTAAAAATGTGCAGATAATTTCAGATCCCTGCAGACTTTTCCAAATTCTTCTAAATTTCTCTGTATTCTTCTAGATTCTCACAGATTTCCTCAGATTTCTTTAAATACTTTCCGAATCTCTCAGATTCTTTCCGATTTCGCAATTTCTCTCAAATTCCTCCAGATTGTTTAATTTTCCTTCCGATTTTATCTTTCAGATTTTTTCCATCGTTTCAGGTCCTTCCAGAGCCCTGCAGATTCATCCAAATTCTTCCACATTCCTCTTCTCTTAGATTTTTATAAATTCTTCAAAATTCTCCAGGATTTCCCAGGTTTCCTCCAGATTCTTTCAAATTTCTTCAATTTCTATACAAAATTCTCAAATTTTCTTAGATTTCCTCAGACTCTCTAGGATTCTCTCGATTTTAATAATAATAATAATATTGGTTAATTTCAACAGGAAGAGATCCCAATTTCAGAACCAAATAAACTAAAAATATACTCCTACAAAAAATAATTAGAAACAGTGAAATAAAATTAAATCTCTTCAAAAGAGCTAAATGCTCTACAGCACTTGGGGATAAACAGTCTTGTAAAAAGGCTAAAAATTAAAAAAAAATTGTACAGCTTCTGCTTCCTTGCGATAGATTTTCTCACATTCTCTAAGATTCTCAGATTTTTTCGATTCTTTCAGATCCCCTAAAAATGTTTCACCTTTCAGATCGTTTCAGATCTTTTCAAATTTTTCCACATCGCTTCAGAGTCCTTCAAAATCATTCAGATTCTTCTAGATTCTTCTAGGTTTACCTAGATTCGTCTAGATTTCTTGAAATTCTTTCCGATCCTCTCTGATTCTTTCTAATTCTTTCCGATTCTTAGTATCATATCCCCTCAGATTTGCTTGGATTACCTCAGATTGTTCCAGATTCTTCCAGACATTTGCAACTTCTTTCCTTTTTTTAAGATTCTTCCTTTCTGATTCTGTGGCTTTGTTTCAGACTGTTTCGAATTTTTTCAAATTCTTTCAAAGACACCGTCAGGAATCTTCACGATTCTTTTATATTTTTGAATTCTATTCAGGTCGTTTTAAAATAGTGCAGATACTTTCAGATCCCTGCAGACTTTTCCAAATTCTTCTAGATTTCTCTAGATTCTTCTAGATTCTCACAGATTTCCTCAGATTTCTTTAAATACTTTCCGAATCTCTCAGATTCTTTCCGATATCGCAATTCATCTCAAATTCCTCCAGATTCTTTCAAATGCTTTCAAATTCTTTCATTTTGCTTCTAATTTTCTCTTTCAGATTGTTTCGATCGTTTCAGATCCTT